CGTCAGTTTTAGTATAATTAATCATTCCAATACAATAATTTACCACCTGCATGCATGCTTGGATGTATTCTGACGTCACTGCCGTCTCATGACACGTCACTGGTGTAGGAGGGGGGGGGGGATAGAGCTCGGGGGTAGTTTAATCACATTCCATGGCAAGCAAAAACCAGTCCTTACACGAAAGAATAGCTCCACCCACACCTTAACTCATTTCCCCTGAAGCTTACCATTAATCCCCTTCTCAGGCTCATTTCCTCGGAACTGTTTAGCACAATGCTTTACTTGGAAGAGAAGGCTTGCCTTCTACAAAATTCAACGAAGTCGATATTCCGCCTTGCCTTACCAGTGAGCACAGAGGGGAGGTCCATGCTTGTGCCCCATTTCCATCCAATGACATGTACGGAAAGAAAGCTGAGCCACTTCTTTGTTTTCTGCCTCCTCAATAGCTCTCACTGGTGTGATTTACTTGAGTAACTCCGTGATTCCCTTTTCCTATGAGTTTTCAATTGTTGTGAAATGCAATTTCCTCGTCATTGACGTGGTGATATATTGTGCGAAATCGTGCCAATCCCAAAAACGTAACGCATTGTGTAGCGGATCTATATTGGCTTAGAGGCTAGGTAAAGATCTTAAACACCTAACTGGTCCTCACTTAAGTCATTTACTCGTTTCTCATTACAAACAATCTTCTACCGTACCTTAACACGTCTCAAAGAATTGGAAGTCTCAGTTCGTCCTCATTTCCCTTTCGTTCGCCTTTGTGCTGTTCAGCGTACCGTAGGCCCCTTCGAAAGCTTCTGCAGTGAAAAAAAATATATGGAACAGAATAACAATTGAAAATTATTAGCGTGTAAACGATAAGCTGCACACTCCATATCTCGAAGATGGAGAGGGCGTGGCTGCCTACTTCATTATAGGGTAGCGTTGGCAGTGCGTTTCGCTGGGAAGTTGGTCCAATGTCAGCCGTGGTTTATCCAATACAATAGAGAACTACATTTTGTTGCAGATAGACCCGAAAGACGCATTTCACATCATATTTAAAGGCATAAGGCGCGCTATTTGGTCGGTCTGAGGAAATGCGTCGCTAGGGGTAGGCCGAGCAGGATAGTGAGAAATCGCCGAAAAAACGAGGGGTGGTAGCTGGTATTGATGAAACCTCAAAAAGCTTTAACTCTAACACCAGCCAAGAAGCGATTTTGGGGCGAATTTTGTAATTGGCACCGTACCAGTACACGCTACGCGTAGGATACGTCTGATCTTACGTCCGTGCAGCAGTGCAGCCATATCAACCCTTCGCTTCATATTGTAACTTGCAAATGTAGCAATACGAGCATCAACATCGGTCGGACATTTGTAGGGGTGCGGCCGCGATGGGCATCCGGGTTGGCAGGTTGCAGACTGATGAGGCGCTGTAAGGGTACCTTCCTTGGAAAAGGCGCTGCGGAGTGCTTGTTCAGAAGCGCCGAATCCTGTTCTGCTAGGTATATCAATCCTACACGTCTTGGGGATTTATAGTGCCACTTCCCTTCAAATAAAGTACCCAACCACGCCCTCTCTATTCACGGGATAAGGCGTGTAACTCCATTTTTACAGAATTCTTATTGACTGGAGAGAAATGAATGAAATAGATTCCGCCTGATGTTTTATCAATATCATTAGATTCTTTTATCCTCTTCTGATTTTCGATTCTTTTTCCACGGTTTTATGCTGCGGTATCCGATTTTCGCCAAGATTGGGCTTTTCTCTTTTGCAAAGCCGGGGGCGTTCGACTTCCTTGTTTGTTCGTTCAAAAGCAGTGTCTCTAGCTTTTCTGTAACAGTTTTTCGCATCATTCCCGATTTCGTAGTTTATGCAAACGCTCCTGCTCATTCTTGTGCTACGCCTACATAGTGTGACTCCTTGAGTGGGATTCTATCCTTAGTATTCCCTCGTCAGACTTCTCTCTGAGCCTGAGAATTGTCATGAAGAAAATTTTTTGTGATGATCTAATTTTCTATTAACTACGAGCCGTTCTCATCGATTCAGCTTACCGAAAGATCATCAAAATATTGATTTTCTTTTCAGATTAATCGCCCTTCGAAATCTACAGGGGTTACGTTCAAGTCCACGTCATCATATGGGATTGTGTCATAGTGAGGAGGACAAGAGTGGCTTAGATAAGAGCAAAGCAATCGATAAACAAATCAAGCAGGGAGCTGCCGAGGATGAGCGAACCGTGAAATTGCTCCTTTTAGGTGAGTCGGAACAATGCACTGAATATCTCATGCATGGGCCTTCTAGTAAGACCAGGGCACGTTATTGGTTGGGGATTTTAGTCGAGTGACTAGGCACGTTATATGATTGGGGTTTTAAGATTCGAGTGCCGTTACGGACCCCCCCCTCCGACCCTCTGTCGCCTTCCTCATGGAATCGAGCCGGCGAACGTGGGGGGGGGGGGGGGCCTGAATAGCACGGCTGTAACAGGAAAAGCCGCGAGGACCCGCGCCCCCTGTCTACCAAATTTCATATTTTCCCAGCTTTCTGGCACTTTTTTCCAATTTTCTGAAAACTTTCCGGACTTTCACGGCCGAAAGTTGTGGCCGTGTGGGAGGGAGGGTGGGGCGGGGGGAGATGTAGCGTGACACATGGAAAGCAGGGAAAAGACCAGCGAGAAAGTCAATCGACACTCTTAACCACTCGGCTAGAAGGCCATGGGAAAGTAAATACGACCCGCTCCCCCTCCCACAGTTCTCATCGATTCAGTTTACCCCAACAAGATTTTGACAGGGGACCCCTGTATACAACGTCCGGAGAGAGACAAGAAGCACGGCTTATCAGTGAGATTTCGCTCGGGCAAATACGACCCCCTATTGGCGGATTCCCAAAAACGATGATGGCTTTGAGTGGTCACTGGGCTGAGAAGCGCTGGTCCGGACACTGCCTTCTATGGCGAGATTGTGCCGTGTGATCCCCGGTCCTTGCTTACAGGTGAATTGGGCGGGGGACCACAGTTACCATTACTTCACGGGTTTTGCGCAGCCCAGTTCCTAAAAATCGAATCGCACGTTTTTTTTTGTATACAATTTTCTGACGCGTCTCCAGTGTTAGCTCTTAGGGAGAGCTCTGGGAAAAACTTGGGAAATTGGCCCAAAATCTGCTGTGACCTGTGGTAGCTTACTTCTTGTAACGGGAACTTCTCATTGACATCACTGGGGCTCCCACACTGACGTTATCGTAACCTGTACTGATAAGTCATTCTTTCAGGAGCTGGAGAATGTGGCAAAAGTACGGTGCTGAAGCAGATGCGAATACTTCACAATAACGGGTTTACCGACGATGAAATCTTACAGCAAAAACGGGTCGTCTACAATAATACGGTAACAGCGATGCATCAACTCATCAAAGCCATGCAACAATACCAGATTAAGTATTCATCTCCTGAACGAGAGGTAACCATTGCAACGTGCTTCCTTACCGTAATACTGCACACACCAGTCCATATCTGAGAGAAACAAGGGGCGCGGCTGCGGAAGCAGCGGGAGCCCAGACGAAAGAGAGGCAGTGGCGAATGTATAGGACGGAGAATCCGACCGGAAAGGGCAACCGTTGCTGGAGCAGACCTTGTTGAGCTCCGATATGAACGATGTGTGTCATTTACGCCATTCCTGTGTAGCGAAAAATAATGAGAAATTTCAAACCCTCCCATCCCAAGAATAATCCTTCGTCCCT